GGGCTTTTTCTCTTATAAATTTCCAGTGACAGATATATCATTAACATGACAAGACCTAGGCCATTTTATAATTCATATGTGTATAGTACTCTGATCCCTGGATATACCATAGCAGTGGAGTCGAGGTTTTCATACACTTTATTGTGCTTTCTAAAGGTAAGGTTATTTTCACTTGTTAAGATAGAAATGTATGCATATTATAGAAAAATTAGAAAACACAGACATATAAATCGAAGAAAAATAAAATACATTACTCTGAGTTAAACTCTTTGGACACTTAGGTGAGTATAGTTCCATACCCACCCCGCTTCTCTATGTAGATGTTTATGGATATATGTATCTCCCTCACATCATATATACAAATTTTTTACTTGCTTGTATACTTAGTGATTACCTTTACATGCCATTATGTACCAATAGCTATATTTTATATCTTCACTTTATTTTTAGCAACTGTGTAATATACTATTATGTAGGTACATTCCAACTTATTTAACCAGTTTCTATTATTGGACATTTGATGGTTTCTAACATTTTGTTATTACAATCAGCACAGTGGTATACGTCCTTTTCTGTATGTCTTCCTGCACTTTCTTAATTATTTCCCGAGGCTAAAATTTCCAGAGGAATAACTAGGCCAAAGTTTGGGGCATTTGAAAATCTGATAATTACTAGCTAAATTGTTCTCCAGAAGGTCATATAATTTACACTCTGACCAAATAAATATGTGAATGCCTCTCTCCTCTCACTAACAGAAATTAAACTATGAATTTTCATCATCTCATTCTGATTAATACAGTAACTGTGAGATAGCAGAACAGATTAGAAAAATTGCTAATGGTCACACATCTAGAAAGTAACAAGAGTGGGTGTCAAGTTTTCCGAAGAGCCATCCCACATATTTCTTTTATATTACACATTTCTTGCCATCTTGCTGTTGATGGTGGCAATTCCAAGAAAGCCGTCAGGAAAGAACCTGAATGGGAATTCTAGCACGCCACATCCTGACTCATGCCTGTGTGACTAGCAGTGCCCTGGCCTCCAGCCATTGGACTGTGGTGGCACAATTTTCGTGCTCTGAGAAAAGTCTGTGCTGTCAGACTGCTTGTCCAGGCGGGCCCTGAAGCCAATCGAAAAGGGAGGAGGAACGAAGCATTTGAGGGTCACCAAATTATAGACTTTGTAACGTGGCCCTAAAACCTTTTGAGTCTTGCCCTATATTATGATTGAAATAATCCAGGCCTTCCATCTGATCTGAGGGTTTTTAATTGGTGGGTTTATTATTTTTTTTTAATTGTAAGATTCATACAAACAGAATCCTGTTTTTGTTTTCATGTATACAAACACTCAAGTATCCAGGTTCTCATAAGTGAAACAAAAGAAGAGGTGGTGAAGGAGAAATTGCCTTTTGGATAGAAAGATGTAAAAGTGGGATTTTTTTTCTTGGTATTATATGGTTAGGTAAATATTTAACTCAAGTTTAAAGAAAGAAAAAGAGCAATAATGAGTTCAGTGATGTGTTTGCAAAGTAGTAAAAACTATTTGGCTATAGAATCATATAGAAAACCGTTACTGCAAAGGGGCAAGTGATATTGATGAGAGATTAATAAGCCCGTGGGACTAGTAGGCACTGTGGAAGTAGTAAGATGACCAGTTACAAGCTCTGTCTTCAGGAGTGTCTCATGGTGTAGTGACAAGAAGGAAGCTTTCCTGACCACGAGTTTTGGCTTGGTTCAGTTGTTCTCTTCTGTGCTGCAGTCTTGCTCTGTTCTCCTGTCATCAAACCTACATCATAAATTGAAGTCATCTATTCACTTGTCTGTTGTGCCCGTTGGACAAGGAGCTCCCTGAGGGCAGGAACTGGGCTCTGCTGTGTACTGTGCTCACCATGAGAGGCTGCATAGAAGAGAGACTGTGGGAACTTAATAGACAGAACCAAATTATAATATAGGAAACATTGCATCATATTTTATCATTTTGGGGCAGTAATTATGTTTTGGTTATTATATTCTCTGCCTCTCAACAATATTGGGCTATCCTCTTTAAACTGATTAAATAGATTTATATTACTTTTATAAATTTCAGTTTTTATTAATTTTTCAAACTTAGGCAAATTATTTAATCCATGACCTCAATTTTTCTCATCTTCAAAGGAAGGGTGTTAGACTAGACCAATAATTCTCAACTGATGTTGGTGAGACCAATCCTGGTATTCAGAGATGGGGTAAGATATGTTAGACTATTCATTAAAATATTTGTGGTTTGAAAAAACATTCTCAATATCATTATATAATTTTATATTTGGAAAAGAAAATGAAAGGTACTTTATTTCTGTAATACTAAACAGTAGAAAAAAAGCCCTGGAAAATGTTGACTCCCAGGTTTCACAGAGGTTGGGGGCCAACTATTTTTTGGGAGGGGGATTAGAATCTCTAGGGCAGGTGTGGAAGGGACCATAATTTACATTATTTTATGTTTTTCAATGAGTTCAATAAAGGTGAGAGATACTGCATTAATCTGAAGAAACTCTAATCATCTAGGATTTCATCATGGCTGACATACACCTTGTTTTTCTTTGGATTTATTGAAAAGTTCAGTCTCCCCCCGCCTTTTTTTTTTTAACTTACCGTATTTTGAAGAAAGGCAAAACTATAGGTCACATTAAGACAAGGCTCAGAAAAATAAAGAAGATAAGAAAAAGAGTTAGACTGAGTTACTGAAGTATCAATGTGTAGAGTTTTTGTTACTCGTTACTTCATGGACTTGCCCACGTGTTTAAGGGCCAGGCTGATAGTTTAATTTAATTTAATTTAATTTAATTTAAGTTTACTTTTTTGAGAGAGTTGAAATACAGCACAGCATGTTTGGGCGATTGGTTGCTGCCTTTTTGAGGGACTAGAGGCTGTGTTCTCATGGTGCTTGGGGTCTCTACTTACAGGAATTTTTTAAGGGTTAACTCTCTGCTGTTTGGTGTCTGAATGACTTCATACAATAAAACGCTTCCAGGTTATACAACTTGCATGATTTCCATATGCCTTTCCCGTCATGAGTAATCCATAACCACAACAAAAATATAAAATGATTTGAAATGCCCAATACAAATTTTTTAAAAACTAGATTGAAATGTCACCCCATTATAGGAGGATACACAATTCACTTCCTGCGATATCCTCTTCTCTGGGGCTCCCCTCGCCCGGCTCGTGGTGGAGACAGCTGTGCTGTTTATAGTCTGTAACTGTTGGACACCTGCTCCATGCTCTTCAATCTCTCTGGTACCTCGATGACGTGGCCACACTCCTGTTGCCCCACGAGTCAAGTGAGCCATGACATTTTTCACATTAGTTAAAGGCCAACCTGGGCTACTTTTACTCTCTGTTTTGCCTGTGTGTATATCAGATATACAGAAGCAGAAACCATTTGTCCTGTTTTGTGGTATTTTTAGCTTTGATTCTAAACTACTACATAGTTTTAGACTAAGTTAGGGCGTTGTTAAATTTTAAGCATAGTTTACAGATTTAGAGTTAGCAAGTCTAAAGTTTGAGTTTTAGACTTAATCTTTAGTACTTTAAGTACTAACTCTTAGTTCAGAAGCCCAGTTCTTCTGAAGAGCAGATGTCAAGGAGGGATTAGATGGGCAAAGGGGAAATACTTTTGAAGGAAAAAAGGGGTTGGGGACATGAATAGTCAAGAAGAAGCTTCAGGAGAGAAGAGAGGATTGGGCTGGATGTAGCCTCAGACCACAGTGCAGTTCTGAGAAAGTCTCAGCAATGTCAGTGGGGATCCCTGAGCTCCTCGAGCTCACTTCCCTTCAGAGGAGTCCTCTGTCAGGCAGAAGTGGCCCAGACTTACTCCTCCTACTGTGTTCTCATTGTCTGGAGCAGCCAATGGGAAGGAGACCTAACTTGAATGCTGCAGTGGGTCCAAAGTTATGGCAGTTTGAGGTTGTCAGACAGCTATGTTCCCTGCAGCAGGTACTCTGGAAGGGAGAATTGAAAGGGGTAACTCCATGGCCACCGAAGTGCCTAACCACGTGACCTTAAATCCTCAGAATTCTCAGCAGAACTTTCCAAAGCTTATGAGCATTTCCCCCTCTGTTCTCCACTCCCATCTCCAGCCCAACTCATGGTGATTCATTCCATTCTTAGATTCTCAGTCTCAGTCCCTTCAGAACCAGTTTAGATGAGGAAGCTACACCTTTGGAGGCTCACTGTTGTTTGGTATTTATTTTCTAGCCAATACAACCACTCCTTTAAAAAAATATCCTAATTCTACATGCATTTCAGGGATGAAATTCCTAGCACTGTGTTAAAACACAGAGGACACAAGATAAATAAGACATGGACCCATACCCTAGAGAGGTATGTATGTACATATTAGCAGAAATTTTAATAATGTGATAAACCAGAGGAACAGACTGGACACAGAAGGGGTCTATCTTGACCAGCCTGGGCAAAGTCTGAGCAGAGTCTTCAAGGACAAATACAACTTACTCAGACAAAAAATGCAGTCAGAGGCAAGTCTAGGCAGAAGCGAGAAAGTACATACTATAAAAAAATGGAGTGTCCCTGGAAGATAAAGGGTCAGGCTTAGAGGTAGGCAGGATCCAGATTTATGCTTGGGAACTTGTACTTGATGGTGTTAGCCATGGTCACAGGTGCTTTTTACAGGCGTGGCAGAGGATTTGGGTGGGTACGACTCGAGAACAGTAGGAAGCCAATGCCTATTGGATATTTATTTCCATTCATTCATTGATATTTTTTGTAATAGGATAGGAATCTTGGGGAAAGATCGACTTACACTCAAAAGACGTGGGTTCCAATCTCAGCATCATGGCTCACCATAGTTTAGACCAGTCACATATTCCAGAAACAGAAGTTTCTGTTATTTATAAATGGGAAATGACACTTGGCCTGACCCCTATGGAAATACCGCAAGGATCAAATGAGCTGAGACAAGACTCTCTGAACACGCTTTGCAAACTTTCAGCCTGTAAAAATTAAGGGACTGTTATCATGTACTGCTCAGGAAATAACAGCACCTGGGAAAAACCACAGAGTGTGGTTTTGTAAGAAGTTGCTCAGCCTTCAAGGGAGAAAATGCCTGGCTCAACATTGGCCAAGAGGAACAGGTCTGGGAAATTACGACATGAGGTAAAGCAAATGGGGTTTCTGTTTTGTTTCTGGAGGTCACGGGTTCTTAATTGTCATTCTCATTGTTTACCCTTCCTCACCACAAGTGGTTCTGAAATGAGAGGAAGTTCGGTCAGGGAGTACTAATAAGGCAGAGGAGATGGTTCAAACTTACTTGATGTAACAGATAGAAACTAAACCACTTTAATGTGGGGAAGGTAGTAGGCTAGACATTGGGTATGTGAGTGGGCATTCGTCTTAAGGATGAGAAACAAGTTCAGCTTTACCAGAAAACTTTCCAACTTTCTAGGAGTACTGTGGGATCCCTGTTTTCTCATATTTCCAGGGAGAAATAGTGCATATTATCAGATAAATAATATTTGCCCTTTTACTGCTTTTCTGGAAAAATAAAAAAAAAAAATCCTTCCCTTACTAGCTTTGTTGAGGATTACTTTAATTCTCAGGGAAAAAACTACTAAAAATATAATCAATACATTCATTGTTGGTGAGACCCAGAGGTGAGGCCTTATACATAGATTATCAATACATGTATAAAGATATGGAAAATCTCCATTTAAAGAATCCCATTATAGAGACCATTCCTAGAATGGCATCATTTTCCTAAAAAAGTTATCTATTCCATGAAGAAAAAAAATTTTATAGAGGAATCAGCCTAGAAATACTGGTGTGTCAGTTTAGACAACTGGTTGAGTCACAAAAGGGACTTGCTGGCAAAAATGTTAATTATTTTCTTTTGAGTCCTTGTATGTTAGGTTGATCCTTGCCATCTTAAAAAACCCAAACCAAAACAAAAAACGAAGGGACTTTTTAAAACTTATCATATGTCCTCTGAGAGACATGGACTTTTGGAAAAGAATTCCCTGAAGGAGATGGTTGCTGATATTAGAGATTGATTCACTCAATACCAGCACCAGTCACTTCTGGCTTTTTTAAATGAAGTTTTGGAAGGCAGAAAGAGAAAAGCCATTGGAGTTTAATTTTGAGGACCAAACCTGGCTCTGTCATGCAAACACAAGTGTTCATTTTCTTTTCCTGTGTAACAAATTACACAGATTTGGTGGCTTAAAATAACATCATTTGTTGGCTCACAGTTTCTGCAGATCAGAAGTATGGGCAGGGGGTAGCTGGATCCTCTGCTCAGGGCTTCACAAGGCTGAAATGATGTTGGCCCGCGCTATACTTTCATCAGGGTTCTCTTCCAAGCTCACACCCTGGTTGTTGGCAGAATTCAGTTGCCTGTAGTTGTAGGAGTGAGCTCCTTGTTCTCTTGCTGGGGTCATTCACTGCTGGTAGAGGCTCCTTGCCATTCTCTGCCCCAGGGCGCTGTCTACAACATGGTAGTTTGCTTCTTTAAGGCCGCCAACAGGAGAGGGTCTCTGGCTTCCAATTTCTGACTTCCTTGAAGGGCTCAATTTAATTAGGTCCGACCCACCCAAGATAACTCCCTCTGGACTAATTTCCAGTCAATTGACTGGAGATTTTAATTACATTTGCAAGATCCCTTTTTGTCCTATAATAATAGGTAATCATGGAAATGATAGCCCATCATATTCACAAGTTCTGCTCACACTTAAGGAAAGGGTATTGTACTGGGCATTTACATCAAGGAGCAGGACTCTTGGGGGCCATCTCAGAATCCTGCCTACCTTTATGTTCCATTTAGAGGCAGAAGTAATCAAGATGAAGGAGTGTTCACATGGCAGGGAGATTGCACCTTTCAGCAAGCCCAGTGGCTAAGAATGGTGCTTCCAGGGTAGCATGAGTAGGGTTTTTTCCTGTTTCCTAGTGCCACATGTGCCAAGCCATGGGCAGCAATGGAGGTGGTTTTGCTAGAACAACTGATGTGGTTGAGCACTTTTTTCTGGCCCACTTTTTCCTGCGTTTTCCTTGGTAGTATTCAAGACTGGTTCTTTGGTCCTCCTATAGATGGTATAAGCTAATGGTAATAATAAGTCCCTTTCTGCTTGAACTAGCTCTAGTGGGTACTTTTACTTGCAACATAAAGCCTTGATTGATACAACAGGCTCATAAATGACCTCTTTATATAGCCATTAAATGTGTATAATTCTGCATTGCCTTTATAGATTCATAGTACTGAAAGCAGGAAGAACACTTCTAGTTCTTCAGCTTTTTTCAACTATATTCTACAGAACACTTGCAGTAGAGTCCAGGATATGAACACTTTTTTTGGGGGGGAGAAAGTGTTCAATAGTCCTGCCAGCTTGGGATTCACTAGATACTTCTGGAGTTCATAATGCTCATTAGCATAGCTAAGCCTCAGGGAGATCCTATAGGAAAAAACAAACACACAGAAACCAAAAAACAAACCAAAACCCCAAAACTTTTCTGAATCCAAACAAGGGTTCCCAAACCAAGGCCCAGAAAAATTAAATAAGTTACGAAAGTCTACCAGTGCATTAGTGGTAGAGTGAAGGCTTAAAACTAAGCTCCCTAAACTTTCTAAGTTCCAAAAACATTAAACTTATTCCTTACTCCCTACATCCCTGAGAGGTAAGCTTCAAGGAATACAAATAACTTCATGAGAAAGTAAAAAATAATATGTAAGTAGTTCCGGCAAATATATTAATGACGTCTCCATGGGACCTGTGGTGTCTCTTTGAGAAGCTTGGAATCCCAGTCATGTCTACTCACACACCACTCAGCAGAGGAGACTGCCCAGAGAGTGGACCCCGGGCGGATGTATCCCTAACCTCGCTGTTATCCACAGCTTAGCATTTCCTGGGTGTAAAGCCAAAGGCTCTTAGACCACAGGAAAAAGGAGCTTGTGAAATTAGTCTCCAGGACATTTTGAGAACTGTAGCATAGTTATCTTCCAGGCAGACATTTTGGGCTTAAGGCTTCATAGAAAATGAATCATTTAAAAATAAGTCCAAAAATAAAATAATAAAAAAACCCACCACAAACTACTCAGGTCACTACAAAAGGCAATACTGATCATGTATATAATAGAAACCTGATTCTTGGATCAGAACACTGGCAAGCGCATGCTTGTCCTGAATTCCGTAATGTAAATCACATCCCGCACATCCGACCAAGACAGAAGAGGTTCCAAGAGGTGCATATTTTCAGCATGAAAACAAGGAGCCATTAGTGTTGCAAGCACGGCGCATGGTCAGCTGGTTGGCCTGACCCACCTCGGCACTTATTGCTCCCCAAGGCCACATGGGTACGCCTTGCAGAGGCTGGGGTGGGTGTGGGCGTGCTGAAGTCGCTTCACAAGCTGAATCTCCACTTCGCTGTTCTTGGAGGGAACTAAGACTAAATAATCTGGACCCCACCACTCTTTTATTATTGGGAAATAGCCCCCCCCCCCCCCCCCCCCCCGCCCAGGGCGGAGGGGCAGAATCACAAGTGTTTAGACTTTGTGCACTCTGTCCCGGTGCTTCACCAAACCCCCCCCAGCCCTTCCCGGGCCCCAACCTTTCCCACCTCATAGTTTTTTCTTCCTTTTTGAGGCAGCTGCATTTCAAAAAGAACTGATGCACTCCTTGAAAACACAAACCAAACCCAGCAAACTATCGTCATGGCAAAGTTTCATAGCCACTCAGACTCTTAAAAAATAAGAGAGGAATGTCATTTAGTCATAAAGGGACTCAAACCACAACATATACCCACCACAATCCCCCGGGAGCATTTCCACACATGTGCATATTCTCTGGGGTTTAGGGTATCTCCCAGAGCTCCCACTAAGGCATGACTGGGGCAGCACCCTGTGTAAGGTTCTGGGCTTTGTAGGGTTGCATTTATTGTGCTGGAGCCGTCAGGAAAATGTAACTTAGGAATTTTTCTTTTAATAGTCTAAGGCAATTTCATTCTTCTTACATGCCTGGTGGTCAGTAGCCATCCTCTGGCCTTTTTGGTCCCACAGTTGAGCCCCCACCCAAATGCTTTCACACCAAAACTGTCAGCTCAGTAGAAGTTGGCTGTGTGGATTCTCTTGAGGACTATAAGGGGTCTTGTTTCTTTTAACAAACTATTGAAGTAAGCATCCCAGAAATGGGATATATTTCAGCTTATTTTTTTTAAAGATTTTTTTTTTTTTATTTATTTGGGGGAGCGGGGAGAAAGCATGAGCAGGGGGAGGGGCCGAAGGAGAAGCAGGCTCCCCGCTGAACAAGGAGCCAAGGCAGGCTGGATTCCAGGACCCTGGGATCATGACCTGAGCTGAAGGCAGACGCTTAACTGCCTGAGCCACCCAGGTGCCCCCTGTATTTCAGCTTCTCTTATGTTAAAAAATGCTGTTTGGGGACAGTAAGTTTTCCAGGCTTGAGGTGGGGCAGGATGACCATATTTCCATTCCTCCTCTTTCTTTTATCTAACAGCCTGAATTTGTTTCAATCTACCAAACCAAAATAAAATTGCTTCCTTTAAAATTCTTGATTTCCTATAATCTGAGGAACAAAAAGAAGATGCGTTAGAGGTTCCCAGTAGAATGAATAGGTATTTTCCCCATCGCTACTGCAACCAGGGATTTCAGTTCAAACTCCAGGAAGGAGACAAGAGATGTTGAGAGTGTGGATAAATTTCCTGAATTATTTTTTCTTCTTTTATCCGGCTGTAACTTTAAATGACTGTCTTCCTGGTCCAAAGCAGGCGTGAGGCCTAAGGATTTCAAATGAGTATACAAACAATTTTATCTGATCCAGTAATGGACATATTTTCGATAAGTGAATGGGGAGAGCTGATATCCCCATTTCAAAGGAGCCGGCATGGGCCGGAGAGAGTTGGCTAGCAGGAACTTTCAGGAAAACACTCATAAAGTGCACTGTTAGGTCTCAGTGGGTGCCTCGGGGCTGTACTTTGGACTCTTCACTGCTGGTCTAACAGGTGAGGCCCCAGATGCAAATATTTGGTTTGACCCCTTTCTTACTGTCAACACTACAGCCCTTAGCATGATGGAAAGTATAGAATTTATGGCTGTTTGCACAGACATTATCAAAATAATTGTAAATTCTTTTTTCTTGTTATTTCTGAAAGAT